ACCTGAAGGAACGTCTCCACCACCATCGTTCTGCCCGGACACTGAGGTCCAGTGCCAAGGGCCTTCTGGCAGTTCCCTCACTGAGAGAAGCCAAGTTACAGGGAACCAGGCAGAGGGCCTTCTCAGTAGTGGCACCCGTCCTGTGGAACGCCCTCCCACCAGATGTCAAAGAGAACAACAACTACCAGACTTTTAGAAGACATCTGAAGGCAGCCCTGTTTAGGGAAGCTTTTAATGTTTAATAGACTATTGTATTTTAATATTTTGTTGAAAGCTGCCCAGAGTAGCTGGGGAAACCCAGCCAGATGGACAGGGTATAAATAAATAAATAAATAAATAAATAAATAAATAATTTATACCCCACCCATCTGGCTGGGCTTCCCCAGCCACTCTGGGCGGCTTCCAAAAAATATTAAAATACTGTGATACATCAAACATTAAAAGCTTCCCTAAACAGGGCTGCCTTCAGATGTCTTCTAAAAGTCTGGTAGTTGTTGTTCTCTTTGACATCTGGTGGGAGGGCGTTCCACAGGGAGGGCGCCACTACCGAGAAGGCCCTCTGCCTGGTTCCCTGTAACTTGGCTTCTCGCAGTGAGGGAACCGCCAGAAGGCCCTCGGTGCTGGACCTCAGTGTCCGGGAAGAACAATGGGGGTGGAGATGCTCCTTCAGATATACTGGACCAAGGCCATTTGGGGCTTTAAAGGTCAGCACCAACACTTTGAATTGTGCTCGGAAACGTACTGGGAGCCAATGTAGGTCTTTCAAGACCGGTGTTATATGGTCTCGGCGGCTGCTCCCAGTCACCAGTCTAGCTGCCGCATTCTGGATTAGTTGTAGTTTCCGGTCACCTTCAAAGGTAGCCCCACGTAGAGCGCATTGCAGTAGTCCAAGCGGGAGATAACCAGAGCATACACCACTCTTGCGAGGCAGTCCGCAGGCAGGTAGGGTCTCAGCCTGAGTACCTGATGGAGCTGGTACACAGCTGTCCTGGACACGGATTTGACCTGTGCCTCCATGGACAGCTGTGAGTCCAAAATTATTATTATTATTATTAGCCAGATCATCCACCCAACTAGCTGACTGGCAGCTACACTTTGGGCTTTCTTTTTCTGTCCTACTGGTGATACTGGAGATTGAACCCAGGCTCTTTCTACATGCAAAGCAAATGCTGTACCACTTAGTGATTGGAATGTGGCAGATCTGTCATTGATCTGGGACATTGCTGAGTTCAAACATTCAGCCAGGGGTAGTTCTATGATAACTTGGTGGATGAATGCTGCAAATCATCTGTCTATCTTATCTATCTATCTATCTATCTATCTATCTATCTATCATCTATCTATCATCATCTATCCAGTATTTTTTTCCGGGGGGTACACAGGGGTACGCATACCCCTAAACATTTTGTGACTATAACGGAAGAAGAAACTTAAAATTTTAACATTTTTAGTTTCTTCTCTAGCACGGTGAATTGAGAGGACATTTCAGAAAAGAAGATTCCACCATCTCTTATGCTTCTTTTAAACGCCACCAAGAAAATCCCAATTTCAACAAGTGAGTGTGAACGTGGCTTCTCTCAGATGAATTTAATACTGACTCCAACAAGAGCTTCATTGCATTTAAACACTGTACAGTAGCCAACCTAATGTTTATAAAATTGGCAGGCTCTCCTTTGAGTTTGCCTTCAGTGTATGTAAATTCATGGTTTTTGAAAGGAAGACATTTGGTGACAGACACCAACAGCAAGCAGAGGAATCGGGAAGATGTTAGTGCACACAACCTCATGCCAACGTGGAAGTTACTGTGAGCTGTCAGCTGTGTAATATGAGGTAATGCATGTTCTTTGTATTTTTGTCCATTTGCAGTATTTAATATTAATTTAATATTAATGGTGATTTTCTTGAGTCAAAATGAGAGTACAGTGGTACCTCGGTTTAAGAACAGCCCTGTTTACGAACTATTCGGTATACGAACTCTGCAAAACTGGAAGTAGTGTTCCGGTTAGCGAACTTTACCTCGGTCTACGAATAGTAGCTGAACGATGGAAGGGCACTGGTGGTGGGAGTCCTCATTAGGGAAAGCGCACCTTAGTTTAAGAACGACTTTGGTTTAAGAACGGACTTCCGGGACAGATTAAGTTCATAAACCAAGGTACCACTGTACCCGTAAACATTTTTTTAAGAAAAAAAAGCACTGTATCTATGTATCCAGGGACGTGGGTGGCGCTGTGGGTTAAATCACAGAGCCTAGGACTTGCTGATCAGAAGGTCGGCGGTTCAAATCCCTGCGATGGGGTGAGCTCCCGTTGCTCGGTCCCTGCTCCTGCCAATCTAGCAGTTTGAAAGCACGTCAAAGTGCAAGTAGATAAATAGGTACCACTCCGGCGGGAAGGTAAGGCGGGAAGTGCCCGGTGTTTCCGTGCACTGCTCTGGTTCGCCAGAAGCGGCTTAGTCATGCTGGCCACATGACCCGGAAGCTGTACACCAGCTCCCTCGGCCAATAAAGCGAGATGAGCGCCGCAACCCCAGAGTCGGCCATGACTGGACCTAATGGTCAGGGGTCCCTTTACCTTTTTATCTATCATCTATCTATCATCTATCTACACACACACACACACACACACACACAATGTGCTCTCCCAAGCCCACATTCCCAGCGTGTTCACACTGCTGTCTCAATGACATCTACACTGGCTTGGTCATGTCCACAGAATGGAAGATGGAAGAATCCCCAAGGACACCAGCTCTATGGCACCAGGTCCGTTGGCAGACCAACTCTGCATTACAAAGATGCCTGCAAATGTGACATCAAGGCTGGCAACCTCAACCCCGCCGTGTGGGAATCCCTTGCAGATGATCGTAGTGCCTGGAGACAGACAGTCAGGTTGTACATCCATAGCAGTGACCAGCAAAAGAATGACCGCTGGGAGGAGCACAGAGAGAAGAAACGGCATGGTGCATCTGCAGCAGCACAACTGGACGCCTCCATCTGCCCCAGCTGCAACAAAACATGTCTTTCCCATATTGGCCTGTATAGCCGCAGCAGGCGCTGTAAGTCTCCAATGGTTTGACTTCACCCCCACCCGTTGTCTCTCTGAGGCAGATGGATACCAACCATCAATAAATCAGGGTTCAAATTAACTGGGCCTACGGGTGGCACTGTGGGTTAAACCACAGAGCCTGGGACTTGCCGATCAGAAGGTGGGTGGTTCGAATCCCCGCGACAGAGTGAGCTCCCATTGCTCTGTCCCTGCTCCTGCCAACCTAGCAGTTCGAAAGCACGTCAAAGTGCAAGTAGATAAATAGGTACCGCTCCGGTGGGAAGGTAAACGGCGTTTCCGTGCGCTGCTCTGGTTCGCCAGAAGTGGCTTAGTCATGCTGGCCGCATGACCCAGAAGCTGTATGCTGGCTCCCTCGGCCAATAAAGCGAGAAGAGCGCCGCAACTCCAGAGTCGGTCATGACTGGACCTAATGATCAGGGGTCCCTTTACCTTTACATTTTGTTGAGCTCTCATTCAGAGGACCTGGTCCATATTGGAGGTGATCTACTTTGTGGAGAGGAGAGACTTGTTTCGTTGCCCTATTATACTATTACAGCACCGCTCCAGTTGAATGTATAAGCCATCAGTCTAGGAAGAACAGGGGCATGCACAAGCCCTACACCTAGGTAAAAGGGTACAGTGGGGAAGAGCTGTAGCTCAGTGGTCCAAATCCTGCCTGAGATCCTGAAGAGCTGTTGTCAGTCTTATTGCACTAGCTGGACTAATGGTCCAGATCCGTGTGGTCCTAGCTATCTACTTGTTTTTTTAAGTGGGAAATCCGTTCCAGAATGCAGGGTAGAAAACAATGTTTGCTAATGATAGCCAGCCCTATCCTTAGGCAGAGTGCGGCAGTTGCCTCAGGCAGCAGATGCTGATGTGCACAGAGTGGACAGAGCTGTGTTCCACCTGCAGCCACTAAATTAGTCTGCTGCCTCTGGTGGAGTGGAGGACCCAGTGTTGAAGTAGGAATCAACAGCTCACCTAGTCAGCTTTTGTACCTGGAATGGAGGAGAAGCAGCGTCTTGGCCTTCAACGAATGTGGCTAAATGTCTTGCCCTGTTGCTAACCTAGTATTAGCTTTCTTAATAAAGAAAGTGTCCTATTTATAGTCAAGAACAAGCCTCTCATTGGGGGGGCTGCTGCTGTTTCCAGTAACAAATTCAGCTCCACAGAATGCTAAGTTAGTATTAACCATGCCAATCCTTCTCCATTCAGGCCAGCCTTGGCAGTGATTCATATCACAAATCAGTTAAGAAATAAGATGAGGCAACCCAGAGGGAGGACAAATGAGCTCAGCATTGCAAATGAGTCCTTGCCCACTGCCACATTTTCCTTCCTTAGGAATGTTCAGCTTAAATGTAAACTGAATTCTTCCTGATCCTTAGCAGGGCTGGAGGCAAAGAGGATGGGGTTGAAGTGGGCAAGGCAAAAATAAAATTCTTACCTTTGATACAAATAACAGAGCTGTTTCCTTTGTTTGGTCTTCACCTTCCCTTTCATCCACCCTTATCTTCCACACCCAACCTCTTTTTAGTGTAATAGCTCCAGCCTCTTTTCCTTTGTGAGCCTCGTCGGCCTCTACTGTTGTGGATACCAATTTTGGCTGCCTTTCTGAGTTGTCACCTGTCAATCTGGCATGAAGATGGTTAACTTTGGCCTGGGTGAACTTTGAAAACAGTGCTTCACAGCAGCAGGTTATCCCAAACACAGGCACTATTCTTATCTCCTGATATCTCCTGAGGGCAGGATATTTCTCCACAGACATGCACAGTTTATAGAATTCCAGTACAACAATCGTTATAGGTGCTAGAATTTAACTAAGGCTTGAGTGTTAAAGCTGTGTATCAGACCTGTGTATCAAGTGTTTGAATGTCATCATAGAATCATAGAATTGTAGAGTTGGAAGGGACCCGGGAAATCATCTAGTCCAACCCCTTGTGATACACGAATCCTTCCCACAGCCCTCTCTGGCGGACTTGAACCACCAACTTTCTGGTTAACAGTCAGATGCACCGCCCAATTGTGCTACAGGCTTCCTGTGAATTAAGGTACACTTTTAATCTTCTGGAATTAGCACATGTGAAAAGGTGATTAAGCTAGGCAAACTTCCTAGACTGTGTCGAAACAAAATAAAAAAAATCCTTCCAGTAGCACCTTAGAGACCAACTAAGTTTGTGATTGGTATGAGCTTTTGTGTGCATGTACACTTCTTCAGATACACTGAAACAAAAGTCACCAGACCCTTATATATAGTGAGAGGGTGGGGAGGGGTATTACTCAGAAGGGTGGTGGGAATGGGTGATTGGCTGATAGGTGTGGTAAATCTGTTGCTGACTGTTAACGAGTGCAAGTGGTCTTACAGGAAAAAGCTAGGGGTGAGATGGCTAAAAATAGCTATATCATGTATAATGAGATAAGAAACCAATGTCTCTATTCAGACCAGGTCTCTCCATGGTTTTAAGTTTGGTAATAAGACTGTGTATTAGACACCTCACTTATCCCTTGGAATCAACATGTGTTAGCAGCTAATTAATTCGGATAATTTCCTTTTGAGGTGTTAGCCTGGGGTTGAGCCATTTAGGCAACACAAAGGATCAAAGGCTAATCTCATTTGCAAATTAGTGGGTTTCCTCCCTCCCTCAATTGATGAATTTAGTTTAAAATACAATGACAGTGTTTCAGGGGAGAGCTTTTGGGATTTTATTATGTTTTTATATATGTTGGAAGCAGTCCAGAGTGGCTGGGGCAACCCAGTCAGATGGGTAGGGAGTTATGAAACAGAGTGTCAGGGACCGTGCTGAGGAGGGCTGGACCGAGGAGCAATGGTGGAAGTCCCCTGCCACAGCCGCTGCCCCCACAGCTCCTGATCCGTATCCTGAATCTTCCCAGGAGCAGGAGAACAGTATAGATTTGGAACAGTGGTTTGCAGAGGGACACAGTTCAGAAGGCAGGAGCTGGGAAATACTGGATGGGGAACAGCTAGGAGACAAAACACTGGGAGAGAGAGGGTTAACAGATTCCCTGTCTCTGGAAAGCATTCCTCAGCTTAGCCCAAGGTCAAGAAGAGCTCAGAAAGTGGCAGAACAGAAAGCACACAAAACACAAAGGGTACAAGCTCAGATTACAAGACGTGGAAGTGATGTAGATTAATAGGGACGTACGGGGGTGGAATCCTTAATTGGGAGCACCGCCATTTCCAGGAGATGGGTTCTTTGTTTTCCTGCTGTGATTATTAAAGTTTCTAACTGGTAAGAAGACTCCTTTCCCTTTGTTCTGCTTATCTGTTGCCACGGGGGAGGAAGCCAATTCCCTGAAGCCTGACACAGAGTTAGGAAACAGCGGGCTGGAGAGAGAGAGAGAGTCAGAGAGCAATGATGTCGCTGCGAGAAGCCAGAGCCTCTTGGAGCATGCATGCTGTGCACTCCTCCATCGTAGGCTCAGGTTGTATGTTTGCATAAATATACCTTATGTCACATAGATACCAATCTCTTGTGGCTCCTTTTTCCCCAAAAGGAAAGGCAGGCCCTGGGGAAATGCTTGGAACTCCCTGGAATCTCCCTGGAATTATTGTGGCCACATATGCCATGTTTAAACATTTAAAGTGCCATATTATAATATTCAACAGTCATGGTTTCCCCCAAAGAATTCTGGGAGCCATATAGTTTGTTAAGGGTGCTGAAAGTTGTGAGGAAGTCCTTAGTCCCCTTCACAGAGCTACAGTTCCCAGAGTTTCCATAGAAGAGGATCTGATTGTTAAACCACTCTTAGAGCTGTAGCTCTGTGAGGTGAATAGAGGCCTTCTAACGAATCTCAGTGCCCTGAAAAAACTACAACTCCCAGAATTCTTTGGGGGAAAGCCACAACTGTTTAAAGTGGCATCATAGCTTTAAAGATATTGTGTGAATGTAACCTGTGTTTCCTGCTCTCCTCCCCTGTCTGCTCACTGTTTCCTTGTAGTTCTATCAGCTCAAGCTTAATTTCTTGAGGCACATCTTCTACTTTAAAACTTAAAGATTTCTCAAAGGGGTCTGATTGCTGTTCCTGTACTTTTAAGTCTACACACACTGTGTAAGAGCATGGCGGCAGTGGCGGCGGGGACGGGAACTAGGGAAGTAAATTCTTTCTTTCCCCCCTGAGATGCTCCCTGGCTTAGTAATGAATTGATTTCTTACACCCTGCCTTTAATTTCGCCGTGGTATCAGTAAATGCCAAAAAGACAAAGTGGTTGCATCTAGGTCCAGGGACAACAGATAAAGCACTGAAATGGAGCAGTCATGAAGTGGTGGAACAAATAAAAACCTTACATATATTTCAGACGTTTGATCAGTGCCAGTGGTCCCAAGCAAGGATGAATTTAAGAAGAGATGTGCCACATTCAGCTCTGCTGCATGGAAAATAGATTTAAATGGATTGTCGGATAAAAGTTTGCCTGGTACTGAAGCGGAAATGCATCAAACTAATGCATTGCCATTAGTCTTATGAACATCACTTTTATCTAGGAACCGCGACCCGCTGCAAGGAATGCAAAGCATATTCAAAAGCTATGCAGTGGGCAACAGGTGACTGGCAAATGACCACAAAGATTGGATGGTTTGAGCATATCACACTGATCCTGGCCCCACTGCTGCCAATTAGCTCTGGGCCCAATTCAATGTGCTGGTTTTGACCTATGAAGCCTTAAACGGCTCATGACCGCAATACGTCAAGGACTGCCTCTCCTCATATAAACTGTCCTGGACTCCATTCATCACCTGAGGCCCTTCTTCGTGTGTCTCCGCCATGTGAAGTCCAGAGGGTAGCAACACAAGAAGGGCCTTCTCTGTAGTAGCTCCACATTTGTGGAATGTTCTCCCCAGGGAGGCTCACCTGGCACCCTCATTATATAGGTAAAGGTAAAGGACCCCTGGCCGGTTAAGTACAGTCAAAGGTGACTATGGGGTTGCGGCGCTCATCTTGCTTTCAGGCCGAGGGAGCCGGTGTTTGTCCACAGAGAGCTTTCCAGATCATGTGGCCAGCAGGAATAAACCACTATTGGCGCAACGGAACACCATGATGTAAGTCAGAATACACGGTAACACTGTTTACCTTCCCGCTGAAGCAGTACCTGTTTATCGACTTGCACTGGCATGCTTTTGAAATGCTAGGTTGTTTACCCTGATTATATATTTTTAGGTGCCAGGCGAAGAAACATTACTCTTGAACTAGGCCTTGGGCTGATTAATATCCTGCAGCCTTTTAAATGTATTGGTGGGAAGGGAGGTTTTGTTGTTGTTATTTAGTTGTGTCCGACTCTTCGTGACCCATGGACCAGAGCACACCAGGCACTCCTGTCTTCCACTGCCTCCCACAGTTTGGTCAAACTCATGTTGGTAGCTTCGAGAACACTGTCCAACCATCTCGTCCTCTGTCATCCCCTTCTCCTTGTGCCCTCAATCTTTCCCAACATCAGGGTCTTTTCCAGGGAGTCTTCTCTTCTCATGAGGTGGCTGAAGTATTGAAGCCTCAGCTTCAGGATCTGTCCTTCCAGGGAGCACTCAGGGCTGATTTCCTTCAGAATGGATAGGTTTGATCTTCTTGCAGTCCATGGGACTCTCAAGAGTCTCCTCCAGCAACATAATTCAAAAGCATCAATTCTTCAGTGATCAGCTCTCACTTCCATACATCACTACTGGGAAAACCATGGCTTTAACTATACGGACCTTTGTTGGCAAGGTGATGTCTCTGCTTTTTAAGATGCTGTCTAGGTTTGTCATCCCTTTTCTCCCAAGAAGCAGGCGTATTTTAATTTCGTGGCTGCTGTCTCCATCTGGGAAGGGAGGTTAATGTTTTGTTATTTACTGTGTTTAGTCTTACATGTTATTCTGTGAAACGCCCTGAGATATTTTGATGAAGGACGGTATATAAATGTAATAATAATAATAATAATAATAATAATAATAATAATAGAATAACGGCCTCCCATCGTGTGCTCCAGCTGAGTCACTGCTGCTTACTGGGACAAAGAGAGGGAGGCGACGGTGAGATTGTTGCGATGCGAATGCACTAGCAGGAGTGCCAGATTAGCTCTGCACTTTTACCGTGCTGACCTCACCACTGTGGCTCCGCCACTCCACACCCCACTACCGAATGGGAGGCCATCCTAACTGCTGTCAGCAGCGCAGACAGAGGGAAGTCAGGTGGGGGACACAAACCCATCATGCCATCTGCTTCTGCTCCCATTCCCACCACACCCATGGCTTTCCTTACTGACTTCCCTTCCCTTCCCTCGATGGATCTTCCTTATTTCTAAATACTTTTCATTTTGGAATTCTGCAGGTTTGTTTCAGGAAGGCATGCTAAGACTGCACACGACTTGTTTTCTAGTTTTCTTTTTTTAATTTTTTAATTTTGTTTTGACAAAGTAATAATCATAAATAAGTGAGAATAAAAATGTGCACCCCACCACTGAGACCATTCAATTGTAATTATCCAACCTCCCAAAATTTCAACACCTCTTGCGGTGCTTTGACCCCTTTCTGTTTTAACAGTACGAATTCTACAAACACCTTCCATATTTCCTCAAGATCTTTTCTCCTGCATATTCCCCATCTTACCTCAATCTTACCTAAATTTATCATTTATAGCTATATCCCACACCTCTTTATACAAGTCTTCCATTTTATATTCTGCTTGCCCCTTCCACTTCCTTACACCACTCATTTTCAATAAATTGCAGCCAGAGCTGTGGGTATATATGGTTTTGGATTTGTTTATTGTTCCCCCACCCCACCATATTGTAAAGGTTGGGTGTAAATTTCACCCATATATATATATATATATATATATATATATATATATATATGCACATTTGAATTTCATGAAAGCTCTAAAGCAAGTCTTTAACTCTGATTAGAGCCTTAACATCAGTACACATTCAACACCCCAAATTCCCCATCTGTAGATAGGCAAGTTGCAGAATGGAAGTGCTCCTCTAAGTATCCCAACTAATAAGTCAGGCTTTCTTCCAGGGACATTCCATCCTAGGCCCTTGAAG